TATTATATTACGCAATTTCGAGTTACCATAGCAACTAACTGTCGGACGTTAGTTAACATGTTACAAGAAGGTTAAGTTACCCAGTAGGTCACGACCGAAAGAGCTGTATTTCTNATCTACATACCAGACACATATCAGCGAGGTAGATGTTGATAATACGAAGAAAGTGACATTGTGTTTTTAAATGTTAAAATTTAGACTGGGTTCAGTGTGGCAGCAACATTAGGAGTATACACCTGATGATGGCCGATAGAGGCCGAAACATGTAGTGTAGAGGGAACAAGATCAAAGACATATAATATATGACGGAGCTTATATCATTTATCGATAATATTTTTATTCAGATATGTGAAGTGTAGTGCATTATACGAAGGGGATGATTTGTAACTGACTTATCTACATGTATATTTGCTGGAGTTGGTGTCAGATGTTGACTCCTATGCGCAAGACGATAGCGCGTGGACCTGGAAGTTTACAGTACATCAACTGATGAGGCTTACTGTTGACACTTCAACGTGAAATTTCATTAATCTCTCCCTTCAGCGAGAGTTGTTTACTTATCTATTCAGCTGCTAACACACTCGTTTGTACACACTACAGAAACTGCCCAATAACCCCCAATAATATAAGGGAAAACGCGTGCCTAAGGGCAGACAAGAATAGACTCTGAGTTTCGTACTGATTTCGAAATAAGAGACTGAAGATAGGCTATACATTAGAGACGATAGAGCGAAATGAAAAATAAATTGAGAGAGGTAATGTGATTTTCCCGTAATAAAATTTAATATTCTCTATATTTTCATAATATGGACGTCTAATCGATCGACTATTTTACATGCCCTTTCGTCTGCATAAGTTATTTTATAACTGAGATAATAAAAGATTTTTCTTACATTTGATATTAAGTAAAGGGGCAAATTTTCCCCTCGTTTAATTAATTAAGCACTCTGCCATGAAGACACAAGGGAAGTGGAGGTATAGCTCTACCATTCTTGAATAGAGGTCAGCTTCATGCCCCGACCGCTTCGCCTCTGTGGAAAGAGCTCCCAGTAACCATTAGATAGAAGGCTGGGTAGGTCTCACAACCAGTCTGACCACTTGGAGGAAAAGAAAATGCTTTCCTCTAATAGGACTCAAACTCTTGTCCCTCTGTCATCCAGCCCGTAGTCAACTGTTATACAGATTGCGGTATCCCGGCTCCCAAGAAAAAATACTTGGTACATAAAATTATATTTTAAGCTTTGAAATTTATTTAAAGCGTTTTAGATGAGGCAACTGTGAACGAGTTGCAATGGTCAGAAGGTATAACCAGGCATTATTAAATAGAGCGATGACATGACTCACGGAAAATTTATGTATACAATAAATGAGGAAAAAGAAAAACAATTAGGAATTAAAACTACAAGAATCGCATTAGGAAAATATGTACTCTAAAATGTAATACAGTTTATTATTACTGTTAATACTGTAACGTGTACGGTGGTATGCGTGACGAAATGACGGGATGATTGGATTTATTAGCACATTGGTTACAATCTCTCTTAATGATACACTCAAATAGCGACAATACAGCGCTATCGTTGATTTGCACACTTTCTATTTCATCGTTGTACACGAACTAGGATATAGCCAGTCTTCAGCAGCCGTCTCCTGGCAACGGATCTTAACACAGAAACTATAACAGTCTCACTGGATAACACACTCCCAATATCACTGTACTACTGCACACATAAAGTATTTCAATTCACACGCAAAATCTGCACATGCCGACCTCCTGTGCTCTCCTGTACTCATGGTTTCAATTCGGTCCTCCGGCTTACGACTGACTTCACTAAGTCACGTCAAGAGGCAAAGTCACATTACGACTGACGGTCGGTCAGTCAGTCAGTCAGTCAGTAAGAGTTGGTGTGGAGCCCAATCTGTGGCTTATGACTAGATATTTATTACTGTTTGACAGTTACGGTCTTTTTTTGGGGGGGGGATGCCCCCTCTGACGATAGTATGGGACTGTCATGGTACATGCTGCTGGCCCTTGCCAGCCCAGTCTTTCTCAGGTCCGAGTCCCTTGGGACTCGCAACCATACTTTATTGTCTCAGATTTGAGACTTCGCTTTTCGCCGCCTTCTATATCTCGCAGGGTCACGGTGGAGGTACTGGACCACGCCTCCACACCTACAGGTTTACGCTGAATACACTTCTCTTATAAGCCTTCGGCACGGATCACACAGAAAACACAACTTCTATTGTTGTAACGCTTTCACCGAACCGTTGTATAGCAACGGTCGCGGCACGGATTCCATTAAAAGCAAGTCACGTGATAGCCCATTGGCGTGCTGACTTATGCCTGACATCCGTTCTATTGTTGAGCGCATTTACGTGAGATGTTTATGGCATCGTTTCCTAGCCATACACGTTATAATATCATTTGAGCGTAGATCTGTAGGAACTGATGCAGCTGTGTTCCTTTCTCTGTTGCAGAGGCAGAAGTCGAGATGCAGCAGAAAACTCTGCGTTTTTGCGCGGCGCTTGGAGTTTTCCTGGCCTTGTCGTCTTTTGTGGACACCCAAGAAGTCGTTTTTATATCTGATGATGACATTAATCCAGTTGAAACGGTAAGCTTGACACCGGCGTTCGCTCAAACTCTCATACAACCTCATGAAATTACAGGGGTAGGAGGTGTCGGTGTCCCAGATAGTAGCACACGATAGTGAGAGAGTCGTCTGTACAGGGTGTAACTGAAAGGTGAGGACAAAATTTGGGCACGATTTCCACGTACCAAACCAAGAAAAAAGTTCCGTATTAACATGTGTCCGGAAACATTTAATTTGTGAATTATTACTGAAAGAGTACTTTTATTCGACTCAGCCTCTAACAGAAGTGAGTACCAGGAATCTTCGTGTGGGGTAAAGGGCCGTCGGCGCATAAGACTGACAACCTCATCGCCATCTGTGAGACGATGTGTCTCGATGAAGTGGGGCCCTAAACGTCTCTCAACCCAATGTGCTTGAGAGTACTTTTATAGAAAGTGCTCAAAATGACCTCTATGAAATTCAATGCTTGTCTCGACACGTCTCATTATGGACCGCCGCATCCGTACAGAGATGCCGGGGCAGTTGCTGATAGTCTGACAGGCGCCCACACTGCGATGTTGAAGTCTCTTCCTTGTCAACAGGAGCTGCATACGCAAGGTGTTTGTGTGTCCGCATACGTAAAAATCCAGAAGATTGAAGTCAGGTGAGCGTGGAGGCCACGCAGTGGGTCCTCCTCTACCTATCCCTCGGTCACGATAGGACACCTCGCGCAGCACGGCTAAACTGTGCCGGGGCACCAGCATGCATGTACAGCATTCTTTCAGCTATAACTCACAAATTAATTGCTTCTGGACACATGTTGGTATGGGCATTTTTTCTTGTTTTGGTACGTGGAACTTGTGCTCAAAGTCTGTCTGCATCTTTCAGTTATACTCCGTAGAGACGCATTTTGTTCTCATTAACCTTGTAGGAGCTTTCAGCTTTTGGCTGTTGCTATCAGTGCCTCATTATACGCAATTGGTAAACGGCATCAGAGGTTTGGGGGAGCGGGATATCGGAACTAGTGCAGGATATAAACTCAGTCGTTCATTTTCTGTCGATATATGTGTATACCGTTCTATTTCTTGCTCTAAGAATAAGTAACTGTAAAATTAGAGAAAAAAGGGTTCATTTTATAAGAACATTACTTTTATTCGTCTTTTAAGAAATTATTTCTCACTTTGGAAGTGAACAGAGGCAAACTGAAATATCAGGAAGTTCATAGGTAAATATTATACACGAAAATTATACATCTTCAAATACAGGGACAATTTGCCCTCTAAAATACTTATTTACTACTTAGTTCGAACAGGGCCGCGCCATAGCTCAAGCTGTTAGTCGCTGGCTTCCCGCCGCTGCGGCCCGGATTCGATCCCGGGTCTGGTCAAGTGAGATTTGTGGTGGACAAAGTGGCGCTGGGGCAGTTTTTCTCCGAGTACTTCTGTTTCCCCTGCCAATCTGCATCCCACCAATTGCTCCACAATCACCCTCACCTATCATCTGGGGCTGGTACAATAGGCCAGAAGCGGCTGCAGTACAAGGGACTTAGTCCCACCCCACTAGCAGTAAATATAATAGTGCGAACAGGATTGCAATAGGTGCCACTTTCAATTCGTATTAAGGTCAAGATATTCGATCAAGATAACGCCTTTGTAATGTCAATATT